CTGCTGCCTGAAACTCTGCAGACTCAGTTTGTTAAAGAGATGGCTGAGACGCACAGCGAGGTGGGAACTGTTTTCGTGTTGTTTCAGACAATATTTGGGTTTTAAACAAACAGTCAAAGTAACATCAGGTAAAGAAAATTGTGGTACAGGTATAAATTCCAGGTTAAAAAATCCTGTGGTGCAGCATGGTGGTGGAGTGGTTAGCACCACCCAGAGAGTTCCTGCAGAGTTTGAATATTCTCCCACAGAAGGATAGAGAGGCGTGGCCATATCTGAGACGTTATCAGCCTGCAGGGAGCGTACGAATGTCAATGCAAAGCCCTTAGAGTCTAAAATATGTGTGCCCGTCTCAGACACTCCATCAGGCTAACACAGGGCCGATAAACTGGCTGCTGTTGTCTATTCTGGTCTTGTTATCAGTGTTATCACATTCAGAGCTCCTGGGTGCCTTTCTGTGCTCCCCCTTCTTTGCTGCAACATATTCAGACTGATTTTATTCTCTTTTAAGAACACAAGAAACATCCAGTTCTTCCTGTTTACCTGGTGTTAGTCCATATCCAGTGCATACAGAGAAAATAAGCACAATATTAGTCTGAAAAGGTGACACTAAAAGCTTTTTGCAACAGCACATCTTCTCCCATAATGCTGTCCGAGACAGAATGTAAAAGCTGTGATAATGAACGTAACATTTTCCTGCAGGTTAAATACAAAGAAGCAGGGAAGAAGGAGGCCAGCAGCTCTCTGTATCACCAGCTCCCTGAGACTCTGGAGACGCAGCACGTTAAAGAGGTTACTGAGCTGCAGAGCGAGGTACACACATCCATTATTCACATTCACTTATCCACTTTTCATGAAGTGGAATATTAGAGCACCAAAACATTAGAGAGCTATTCCCTTCTTTCCATGTAAAATCTAATATTTAGTTTGAGTTTGTCAGAGCTGGCCGGTGTGAGCATCGTCTCTGTTTGCTGGCAGCTGTAAAGATGTGTTTAAGGACGACTGCGTGAACGTTTTTTCCTGTAAAGTCAGGTCTATGAGAACGTCGTGTCTTTGCTGCTGTCTTGCATTTTTTAAGCCGAGACACTGAGTGCAGCGTTACTCCTCAAATATTTAATAAATGAGTCATATTTTGCACTTTGAAGACACTCAGCTGAATGTCTGGGATATTTCCAATGCTGTTTGTAACAGTGAGACCTTGTCTGCATGATGTCACTGAGGAACAGAAGTCTTTGTAAAGAAACTCAGATATTCAGCAGAAAAACAACAAGTTAGAACTGAGAGTCTGTAAACAGCAGAGTTTATGATTAATTCTCTGGTTTGGAGGTTAGATCTCTGTAATCACTGCTGAATTTGTTTTCATTTCATAGTATAGCAAGTAAGTTCAGTCAGACGCTCAGCCAAAGCCCATCTTTAAACTTTTAGAGTGAATCTTTGAACTGCTTTGGTGCAGGTGTGGTGCAGTCCTGCAGGACAGTGACTGATGAAGGGGAATAACAAGAGGAAGGTGTCATTGCAGCCAGAGCAGAGTTTGTACTCAGGAAGTCAAA